ACCGCTCGCTAAGCGGTGCGCAAAATTTGTTCACGAGTAGATGTATCGAAATTTATATTTATTTTTGTTATTGAAATCGACAGTGTCGAGCTGCTTTCGGACACTGTTTGTAACGATTTGTTCTTTTCTTTTTTTTTTATACATATGTACGTGAAACGTACATGCACAGACAACTATTTATTATTTCTTTTGTTGGAAATAAATCGTCCGTTTAGAATTATCGTGTATTAGTTTTTTATCAATTTACCTGTGTTCAACCCTTTTCCCGACACTCTTCGCCCCACGATTACGTTTCCCGCTTTGGTCGCTGACGCATGCATAGTTGTATGGAGTCGTATATAAAACGCTTTCAGCTTCTGTATTTTACTAACAAAATCGATCGACTCGTAAGAATAGCCATGCGAAAATCGTCATTGTTCTCTTTCTGTAATTCGAAGTTGACTTGATCACGGTGATTCGCACCGTTAATTACAACAATGAGCAACAACAAAGTATTCGAATAGGTGTTGGAAGCTCGAGGACGCAACAATAATGTTCCGTTCACGACTTGGCAGCGCTTAGGTTTCTCGTTTATCAGGGGCCATTATCGGCACATTTATTAACTGTAGCAGGTAACCGTCGTATCTATCTAACAGCTGTGCCAGCAGTTTAAAATTGACTATGGTATGTGTTCCGCACAAGAGGGAATGCGTGGTGGGACATCGATATCTGCTTCCGAAGATATCGCGCGTCCGCCAGTTGCGACGGGACCATAAGAGTTTTCCGCATTCCGCGGAATCATGAGCCACGTTCGAAAGACACTGATGACCAGTAAGAATATTCCAACGGTTTTTCCATTGCAAAGCGAAGCCTAATTACAATATAACACAAACATACAGATAATAATCGTCTTTTATCTATGTCGCGTTTACTTGTGTCGTGTTATCGAATTTACGGTGCAACCGCGAATTTAACTCGGGTCTTCTGACATGCTCAGTGGCCCAAGAGAATGCAGACGAGTACAGCAACGAGGTGGAACAGCTGAGAGGAACGGTGGCGAGGAATGAAGAGGAGAAACAGCGATTGGAAGCAGAACTCGCACAAGTGAAGGAAATGCTGCAGAGGGAAGTGGCGAGGGCGGACGCGGAGAACACGCGGAGCAACGTCATCATTGCTGAATACAAACAGGTACACGATACCAATTTGATCATAATAGCCAGATGTGTCATCCACGGACACTTCTTTCAGATCTGCCAACGCCTAGAAGATAACTACAACGCCGCCAAGTCCAGCCTTAACGTGCTACGGGTAAAATCGAAAATTCGCCTTTCTTTTTTCTATTCGCGGTGTAGTTAGATCTCTTGAAACTTTTTGCACGAGCTAGTGATTCTTTGTTTCTAAAGGTAATGGTGTCGAAATGCGAGAAATGCAGGAGTTGCGTCCCGCTGGAGTCTTCCAATGTGCTAGCGGACATCTCGCATCCGCTGGAGAACAGAATAGATCCCACCTTGCACAGAGTACAAGAGAGAGTTAGGGAGCTGGAGTTGGAGTTGGCACAGACCAAATTGGCTCATGTCGAAGCTGAATGTAGAAATCAGGTAAAAAAAACGGAACCAGAACATATTAACTATCTGCATAACGGCGAGTTTAATCATCCTAATAATCGTAGGACTTGACGCACCAGCTGCACGCGACTGCATCCGAGCTGCAAGCAGCCAGAAACAGTTGGCCCTGGCTGAGCAAGACACTGTCGACGCTTAAGGAAGCGGCGAACAAAAGGGAGGTGATGAAGGATCCTTCTCTGATGAAGGATCTGAGGCGCGAGAGCGCGCCTGGAGGCGAAGTTTATCACCTGATTCGTTCGCGCTATCGCGATGCTCGTGATAAGGAGGTCGTGTGATGCGACGATGACGAAAAAGCGAACGCGTTGCCGCGGAATAACGACGGAGACGACGAAAAGCGGAGTAACCCGTCGTTGTTCGTGGCAGGCAACGCGAACTGTTCGTAATCAATGGGAGAAAAGCTGTTTGCCAGATGCAGACTCGAATATGCAACGTACGTCCAAGATTCGCACGTAGATTCAGCTTGGTCCGACGCGGGACACGTTATAGTTTTCGTCTCGGGTTCCTTACACACGCTTCTAGCGGGGGCAGCTTCGTCATCCTGATAACGCTGACATATTCGGTCTTTGAGATATTACTTGTTCAAGTTTGTTAACTCTCTTCTTTCCTAGAGTATACTCATTTTTAGGTGGATCTGTTTTTTTTTTGTACACCGTTCGAAATCCGTCTCGAAGCGCTTCAACGAGACGTTCCGCGAGTAATTTAGGGTGCGCTGTAGTTGATGAGGCGAGAATGAGAACGATCGATGGAGAATGTAGGGCGTGAGGTCACGGGCGAAACGATGGAAGTTACATGATAGATGTTAGCGATAAGTACACACCGCGTTTTGTATGAAACTAGTCTAAGATGAGAACTATAGAGGCGCTATAGGGTTCTACACTGTACATAAACACGGTACACTCGGCCGATTAACGGGCACGGCAAGCTGCAGAGGCATTTCTTTTTACGGTTCTCTCTGTATCGGTCCATGACACGACAACATTCCAAAGTACAATGCTACTAGGTTCTTCTTATTCTCTTTTTTAATTTAACCCGAACCGGCTGCCGATTTCACGGCTAACTTTGAACTGTCGTGAATACCGTTAAGCTACCGAATTGTGGTACAATTTCGTGGTGTTACATTTCTTTTTATACGTACGCTAACACGTTACCTACCGGAAGTGGTTTTAGTACACAGTTCAGGAAATTGGGACACATGTAAACCTTGTGATTGTACTTTTTGTCTTTAATTTAGAATGTGATCGTTTTGAGGAAATGCTTTTGAACACAACTGAGGATTCACTTCTAAAATTTTCTTAATGATAATTGTTTTTACCGACATCCGGTAGATGAAGCGTTAACAGTAAAGTGAAATAACGTAATGTAATGTGAAAACGTATCCAGCGTTATTCTTTCCGATAAATACTCGTGAGCGCGTGTATTATTTTTTACATTCGCGGCGCTCTGTTTCCAGTACTCTTTGCGAAGCAAGAAAGGCCATAAATTCTATGTTAAGGCACTAAGTCGAATCAGGATTCGATCGAACACGCTTCCACGACACGAAGAGCGAAACGGCGGAACGCTCGAAAGCACATTTGTTAGACCGTCGAGTAGCGATTAGTGCCATTTTGTTCGGTGGAACATCAATTCGTTTTCGGATCGCCCTTCATCGAGCACTATACACATGATGTTCAACGTATCGTGCCATGATCGTGGCGACGACAACCCCTTATATCCTATTTCATTTCACCGAATTCTCATTTTGGAAATATGCAACAAATACTTTGTCGGTTCAAATCTATAGGAGAATTGAGAACAAAAGTTTTATGGTCACTTTAGCGACTCATACAGTAGCTGAACAATAGTCCTGCATCTTATATAAAACAAAGGGATTATACTGTAAATACTGAAAACGTGAAAAAAAAACAAATAATATCTATATGGTTAAGCTACTAAAAAGATCATGTAAATGATTTAGGATTACTACCTATGTATCTCTGTACACCTTGTAATGTCATTCCACTATTATTGAAATAAAGAAACAAACCATATCTGTCTATCTTGGCGTTTGGTACAATACCTACGCAGACACAGTGACATATTTAAGAGATGTAAAGTCAAATGATTTTTGAGAGGATGCGGTTTGTTTAGAAGATACGTTTATTGTTCTTTGTTTTCGTAGTTTATTTGTCCAAAATCTGTGGTATCGTGAAAATGGAACGATATGCAGAGTTTCAGTCTTAGATAGATCTTAACGCACGGCGCGAACCTCGTTCACAAATTATCGTAAAGGTTTTACAAAGAGGGGCAAAAGGGAGTGGTGTAGGGATAGGGGAAACGTAACATGTCGATAAATTTTTGTAAAACTATACGCAGGTGAAACAGCGTCTTAAAAATCTTATAAGTACTTAAGTAAACGTTGGGAACAGGAGGTCTTTGAAGATTGTACGAAAATATATGTATATCTCTTTTTAAAGTTCGACACATTGTAAAGGCTTCACGTGGTAACAAACAGACCTTACTTAATTAATATAAAACAGCGTACAGATATTACTAGTACTGAAGCACTGCCTTACGTCCACTGAAGACGCTAACGTATCAACAGATCAGTTACAAATACAACCGCAACGAGAAAGGTACATAGCAAACATATAATAAAGTAAAAAAAGTAATAGTTTATATCAATAAATTCGCTGAACGTTATTAATCTAAGACGTAAGGATCTAGCAATGGGTGTTCCTTTTTACTCCTTTTAAAAAGAAGACCAATGCATAAAATAATTAATATAACTTAGAACAGATTGTGTTACCTAATTAAATAAAAGTAAAATAAGAATTGTAATACTTAACACATACAAGAGGCCATTAATCAATTCAGAGACTAACAATATTTCTCACAGTCCAGATTAAGCATGAGATATTTTTAATATCGCTTTAAAACAACACTACATTCTTAATACAACATTCAAAAGTTGCTTCATTCTCTAATATTGAAAGACGACTACTTGAAAATTAAGTTAGTACAGGTAACACCCCTTGATAGAATTCCTTTTTAACGTTGACCGAGGACTTTTATAACTTCCCCGAAATAATTTATTATTATCATTAAAAAGAATAAGACCTCTTGTGATTCAGGAGTGACAATAATATAAAATAGAACGTAATAAACATAGTTTAGAAAGTAATTACCTTCATACTTCTATCCGCAGACTCGTAGAACGTATTGGTGGCGATATGTGGAAAAATCTAGGTAATCAATCATTATTTCAATAATATCACGTGCGACCAGCTGGCCATCTATCACTTCCGCTATCACTGTGCGAGGCATTTTCGCTATCCATGGCCACATTCTCGTCACTATTATCATCCTCACCCATCTCGTGGTTCTCTAAGTCGCTACCATCTGTGGAACTGCTATCGAAACCTTCGTCGCGTTCCATATTTCTGAACCTGTCGTCTCCTCCTTAAAAAGATAATACAGATTAGCTCCGTCATTATAATTCTTGTAAAGCTCAAATACATGAAGGATACACTACCTGCCCTATCGGGGAATCTAATGTCCCTGCGTTCTCTGATCTGCATCTCAACGTCAATGGGTAAGTCATTCTCCAGCGCATAAATATCATTCTCGTTCTCCCGATCATTTTCGAGAACGTCGATCAAAGGTTGCAAGTCCACCAACTCGTTTAACTGAGCCGCCATCATATTATTGCCCTCTCCATCCCTATTATTGTTCGCTAGATCGCCATTCTCGACTTCGACAACCTCAACTATCTCAAGGACTTCTGGCCTAGGAGCCTCTGCTATACTAGGCGGTTCAGAATCAGATATGTGATCCTGCGCTATACTAGACAAATCGTATTCCGGGGTCATATCCTGAGCGGAAGTTGAATTGGGATATCCAGAGTCCATTACTTCCGGAGACCAACTATTCGGCGGCGTTTCTGGTGAAAATGGCTTTGCCTCCGCAGTCTCAGTAATCTCTAAAGCGTTTATATTCAAATCTTTATTAGCCTCTGCTGTAGACTCACCTTGTTTCTCGACTTTTAATACTGATGTGAATTGTACAGCCTCTGTAGCTTCTTCCAAAACCGGAGAGGTGGGCTTCAAGTTTATGTCTTTGGCATTGTGACAAGTAGTTTTTGTGCTATTTACATCTTCGGACTCTTGTTTAATTAATTTTAGATCGACTAATTGAAATCTCTGATCACAAGACGATTGTGGCACTTCCGTTGTTTGACCGTCGTTCAACGTGGACGTTGTCGATAATACATTGCTCTCGGTTAACGCGGTGTCGCAGGAAGTATCCTTTTTATTGCAATCAGCCAATAAAGTCTGCTCCGATGCCATTTCATCTTCATTGTTTCTCGGAGATTTGCTATTAATCTCTAACGACTTATTGCTTTCGAGCCCTATCAATTGAAGTTTTTTTATTGTACTAGGTAAACTGTTCGTATGCTCATAGAGGTTCAAAGATCTCTTCTTCTTGCTCGTCGGATTTACCTTTGCCTCTACTTTCGGCGAACTTGTAAATTGCGGTTGATTATCGGCTAAGGAACAACTGGCTAATGGCATGCTGTTCATCTGCTGCTGATTATCCCTCGAGACATCTTGAACACTTGTATTCGTATTTCTACTACTATTTACATCTTCGGGACTAGGAAATTCGCTTTCTTCATACGACGCATTTAAATGTAAGCTACGTAAGTTATTGTGATCAGGGTCATTGTACTCAGACGCATCTCTCTGGCAGAACGAATTATTCAGCATCCAATCGTTCATGCTCTCATTGCACAGACTATCGTGCTTGAAATGCTGGTCCATTTTAACGGTTTGCAGAAGATACGGTTCGGGTGAGGTGGATGCGCGCGATGTGTTCATACATATTGGGAAGTGCAACATGTGGTTCAGCTGTTGCATAGTGTTCTCTTGCATACTCGAAGAACTAATGTCCACGAAAGGCAAATCTTCTTTCACCTCTTTCAATTTCATGCTCGTGGAAGAATCTGATAGCATAATCGATACGTTTAAATCTGGGCAAACATTCTGATCGATCGGTTCGTTCATATCGTCCACACTCATGCGATCCATATTGTTAGAAAATCGAACACTCGAGTCTAGAGTCTCTCTTATACTAGTCTCGCTATACATCGCCGATGCCGCGGAATTTCTCATGTCCAAGCCGCTGTCTAATGCTATATTATCTCCATCGAAAAGATACGTATTGTCCTGAACCACAGAATTATTCTGTGGGATAACAATGCTTGGTTCTTCATCCCAATTCGGATTGTTCCAATCCTCTTCCAAGTACCTATTCGAGTCCACAGGTGGACCGGGTTCAGTGTTCCAACCATCTTCCTGCTCAATGGACCAGTGACCCATCCCGCTATAATCTGACCATGTAAGCTGCGGTATCACTACAGTTGGCCCAGATTCGCGGTTTTCGAACGCATAGCCAGCATCTTCCAAAATCGATCGCAACGTATCCTCTGATATATTGAACGATTTCAACATTTCTAATAATCTTCTCAATGGTACTTCTTCTTCCATATCGGGGTCTTGGTACGATAACCGTTCGATGTAGTATTTGGCCTCGTCCAGGATCTTTTGTTCATCCGAACGATTGTCTACGTGCACTGGATAGTCATGTATCGCTACACTGTTGAACAAATCCGTGGCGCTTTGGTTATAATCGTCTCTATATTCGCTATGTCGGTGAAATATTGCCATCTGAGTGCAAGCACCCAAGTGCTCGCTGCCTTCTGGACCCTTACAAATGCCATCGAAAGTTACCTCATAGTCTGGATACTTTGAAGTAATGTTTTTTGCCCTATTCATAAGAATTATAAGGTTATTGGTGCTACAAATAAGAGCTTAACTGATAAAACTATAATAGTACTAAAGAAGTAAAAAAATTATGGATAGATCAAATAATCTGTAATTACCAATCTTGAAACTGTTGTCTGGTCCACTCAAATTTGTGATCAGGATGCCTGAATCCAGAAAAATTTGGAAATAACACATTAAACTCTGCATTCGGAGTTGTCATTATTGCTACCTTTGGCTTAATGAACCCAAAAATATTTTCGGGTAGATCTCTTAAAGTGTCTGGATATAAATGCTCGATTCTGGAGGATCGAAATAATTATTAATACTATCGCAGATCAAAAGTTACAGATCTATGTCAGAGTTAAAGAACAACTCACAGTTCTATGCAAATTACAGCATCTGTATTTTCTAGTTTTTTGTCGTTATGTGTCACACTGCCCTCGCATATTTCAATGACCAATGGTGTTGACCTTGTGTGAATGTATTCCGAGTTTAAAGGTGCAGCCTTTTCCTGATAGGCATTCAAAAGCTGCCTATCAATATCAACACATAAAATTTCCTCCACACCAGGTGTGTTCTTTAAATAAACTAAAAAGCCGAGTTCCGAGCAGCCGAAATCAACGACCTATAAATAAACACAAGGTAGTCTTTTTGCGAAAATCTTTCATTGTGTCACAGTATGACCTTCGTCCAGTACACAAATGTCATGTAACATAATATATGAGTTTCGAATGTAGTAGATAAGAAAGTACAATCCGCATGTGAAGCGGATCGTCGCGAAAGAACAATGGGAAACCAAATACCTTACGCAATTTTCCATTGTACTTGGAACTATTTAACACGTCGCTCACCGCGACGTATCTTTGCACGTACGCTGGCGGAAAAAATCTTATTGGTCTCGACTCGAAATCTTGTGGCGCTTCTGGGTCTACCATCATGTAATCCGCTTCGGAAAATTCGAAAATTTCCTCTGCGTCGGTCACGACATCGTCCATAGATTTTCGTTTGTTTACCTTGTAATTTTGGTATACATACTTCCCGAGAAGATAGAGCACGTGGAATAATACAATAACCATGTCAACAATGAAAATCAATCACAATTTTTTTAGTGTTCACGTTTCACGAACGCATCCCGGTCTGCTTCCCGTTGTGCGTAATACAAGCAGCCATATTGTTTTGTTATGAGGAGCCGCGGCTGCGATCTGCGATCTATGAGTCAACGCTGATTGGATAGAATCTTTTGAAAATCAACCAATCAACAGAAACGGCGCTGCAATTGCAGTTGCGATTTGTATGTATCATAGATTATAGATTTGTAACATATTTTTGAAACATAAAAAATAACATCACAGTGCATTTTCAGAGGGCTTTTTATCTTATTGGTCATGTTACCCACAATTTGAGCATTTCGTAATTATGTGATTTGGCGTTTTGTACGAATCTTTAACTTCAGTTCAAAATTTTGTCGTAAGAGGCACTACCTGCTTAACACATGTGGTTTGTTTGTAGAAAATGATAGAAGTATAACCTCAGTAACGTAAGACAACTTTCTATTTATTATTAGGTGATGTTATAATCCTAAGCAGGAAGAAGATTGACGCAAAATGAAGCATATAAGTAATTTCTGAATTATAACAATACTATGTAATTATTAATTAGTATTAATTTTTACATCATAAGTTAATGTTCCTAATAATATTTATAGGAAGCAAATACCGTAAGAAGCAGCCAGCTTTGAACATTAGCTCAAAGCGATTGGCGATGCACAGTAGGGGAGAAGGAATTGATTTAAAGCGTAAAACATCTAGGATACGGAACAAAGTGCAAAGACAAAAGTTGATAGCAAAGGAGAAAGTTATAGACGAGACTGTAAAGGATACAGCTCGAGCAGAGATATTACTGACTGAAGATTATGGTTGTTTGGAAACAGAACCAGGAGAACGAACAACACGATTTAGGCAGTCACAGATTGCAGAGAATGTAGATATAACTAGCGCGACTAAGCATTTTTCATTAAAACTAGATTTTGGCCCATACTATATAAAGTACACAAGAAATGGTAGGCACCTGGTTCTGGGTGGACGGAAAGGACATGTAGCTGCCTTAGATTGGGTCACGAAGCAGTTGGCCTGTGAGATGAATGTAATGGAATCAGTCCACGATGTCTCATGGTTACACATTGAGACCATGTTTGCCGTAGCACAAAAGGATTGGGTATATGTATATGATAATCAAGGAATTGAACTGCACTGTCTAAAGCAAATGCATAAAGTAAACAAGATGGAGTTCTTACCTTATCATTTTTTACTTGCCACTGGCTCCAGAGAAGGCTACTTAGCTTGGCTTGATGTCTCAATAGGAAACATGGTTAATGTATACAATGCCAAACTTGGATGTATACAGGCAATGACACAGAATCCATATAATGCAGTACTATGTGTGGGTAGTTCAAAAGGAGTGGTCTCTATGTGGTCGCCAAACAGTAGAGATCCATTAGCAAAAATGTTGTGCCATAAGCAGGCAATAAATGCATTAGCTGTACATCCTCAGGGCACTCTTATGGCGACTAGCTGTGTAGCAAATTTTGTAAAGGTGTGGGACGTTAGACAGTTGACTGGTCCAGTACATAATTACCAAACACGATCTCCAGTTCAACATTTGTCTTACAGTGACCGTGGTCAGTTGGCCATGGCAATGGGGAATGTAGTGGAGGTTTACAGGTACAACATACTATAATAATTTCTATATGTATAATGGCAATATTAATATTTTTCGTTGCATCAGACCATTAGATAATGAAATGAAACCATATTTGCGGCACAAGGCCGACTGGACAGTAACGAGTCTGCAGTTCTGCCCGTTCGAGGATGTCCTGGGTATTGGTACAATGCGAGGAGTCTCGTCTCTTCTGATACCTGGAAGCGGGGAAGCTAATTATGATGCTCTGGAAATTAATCCATTCCAAGCCAAGAGTCAGAGACGCGAAGCTGAAGTGAAAGCTCTCCTAGATAAGATTCAACCCGAACTTATTACTTTGGATCCGGTTGCCATAGCGGAGGTGGACGTACCTAGTTTGGAGGACAAAATAGAAGCAAGGAAGAAACTCTTGGTAAGTCTTAATTAAAATGTACATTAACGATTATTATCGGAACAATGCAACATCTTTATTATTAATGCATCTTATTTGCAGTATCTTAAACCAAAGGATATAGAATTTAAACCGCGTCGAACGAAAGCTAAAGGAAGAGGTGGAACAGCTAAAGTTATTAAAACGAAAAAGATTCTGAAGGACTTGAACCGAAGGGTAAGTAAGCATTATTACCGACTGTATGCGTGTTGCAAATACTAAACGTTCATTGTTTTAGGAATACGTTGCCACTATTCGGCAGGCAAACGTACTGCCGGAAGTGAAAAAAACAGAAAAGCCGCGGATGAAGGATTATGGAGTGTTGAACAGATTTGTATCGAAAACTAGATAACGCGTATTATTTAATTCCCATTATCCTGACTTGATAATCTGTAATTAACTTATAATTAAATCTTTTGTGCTTTCTACTTAAAATGCATAATTTATTTCTGAAGATGCTCCATTAATAGATACTGCATGTACCGATACAAAGACCAAGTCGCGAAACGCGTGCTGCAAATAAAATCAAGATTAATGATGTCAAGCGTAATATCAAGATTGATTACATATACGTTCCGTGAAAGTAGCGAGGTGTTTAATAAAACAAGTAAGCGTCTTACGTTTCTGCTGCTATCATTTAATCGTCGTTGTATTAAAAAGAGAATAATTTATGTGTAATTAAGTTCGGAAATTAATTTTGGAAAAGTGTGTGAGTAAATTCGATATAATCTAATGCCCCTGTGATAGGTCGTTCTGTCTTCGGGTCGACGTATGGTTTCATGCGGGCAACGCAGTAATCGGCCATTTCTTTGGTGAGATTCTGGAATCAGATATACGAGATTAGTATTAGTAACAGCAGCTGAATTTACAAACTGAATAAACTGGTCTCGAGATATACTCACAGCGTACAGTTCTTCTTTCGTAACGTACGGCCGATCTGCAGCTGTGATTGCACGGAAAGCGTTCTCGATTTCTTCCGAACTTTGCACGTTCTCTGTTTCCTTGCTGATCATGAACGCCATGTACTCTTGTAGCGACACATAACCGTCTCTGTTAGGATCTACAATATCTGCGGAACAGAAGAAAAATACGAAGTGATATTACCAAGCATGTGAGAGTTAATAGGCTTTCAATAAGTATTCAAGCGAGGACAAACCAAGGATGTTCTCAAATTCTGGATCCGGTTGTCCTTCTTCCACCATGGGCAGGTCGTAGCCAAGCGCTCTTAGGCAGGATTTGAATTCTTGATGGTTGAGACGTCCACTCTTGTCCTTGTCGAAGTGCTTGAACATCATGGAGAACTCCTTAAGAGCATCTTCAGAAACACCGGATTGATTTCGTGCTTGTATCTGTTGCTCCAGGTTATGCTGCATACGCATTCCCAACTGATCCAACTGGTCCCATTGCTGCGCCAACCCTACTGTGCTGTGCTCTGTATATCGATTGTCCAGGATCAGGTGTTCCTCCAGAATGGCTCCCAGATCTTCTATCTTTTTCAAATCTTGACGACGAGCGCGAACCTCTTGCGTCTTCCTCTTTGTAGCTTCCAACTGTTGTTCTAGGGACCCTGACCCCTCCATCATGGACGTTCTTGTCTCGGCCAACCATTGATGGAATGCGTTGGCATGTTTAGCAAATTCTTTTCGCAGTTTATCGTTCTCCTCTTGGCGTTGAGCTTCCTTTGCGAGTTCCACGTCACGCTCCTTGATGATCTTCTGCAGATTCCTCCATGTATCCTCTAACGCCTCCATTGTGAACCAGGTGTACGGGTTGGGACCAACGTTGAAGCTCTTGATTTGTCTATCCAAAGCAGCTAATGCTTCAAAATCAGCCTCGGCGGAGGACAGGCTAGCCTGGAACTGCGCGTGAGCCTCTCTCAGTGCACGAATTTCCTCGATGCTGTTGCAGCGAACAGGATCGGTTAGATCTTCCTCGGCATTTTCGAACCACGAGTTGAAAGCGGACGCCTTCTTAGCGAACGTCAGATACAATTCTTCAATTTGCCTGAACTGTTCCTGCATTCTCAATAGGCGTTGTTTTCTGGCGTCAGAGTCGGCCAGAAGCTTCTGCCAGCGTGCGATAACGTCCGCATGGCGTTTCTGAATGCTGGGCGTTTGATCGTGTCCCGATTTCACCAGCATCTCCTTCAACGAGGTGATATTTTGAATACCCTCGTGTTCGAACGCGTGTAGACCTGCGTCGAACGTTTCCTGCTTGGTGAGCAGTGTCTGAACGGTGGACAGATCCCGTCCGAATTCTTCGGAGCGAACGTGGGTTTCCTTGTCGGCAATCCAGGATTCGACGACGTCGGCCTTCCACATGAACTGCAAGTAGGCAGAGTTGTCATTGAGCCTAGTTTTCCTTCTAGCAGCAAGAGCGCCAAGTTGTTCCAATTTGTTTCGCAGTTGGGCGCATCGCTGAGCTATAGCGTCTGCACGATGATTGCCAGCCTTGATTAAAGCCTCGCCAGCTTCGCATATACCCTTGCAACGTTCTCCGTGAGCGGCAAAATCTGTTTCGAATGCGTCGTGCTTCTTCAGAAGACCTTGTACCGCAGCCATGGTGTCGCCATAATCCTCAACGGATAGCAGTTGTTGCTTCTCCGTGATCCAAGCCTCTTCTTCTTCTACCTTGGCTAGGAACTGCTGATAAGTCAGCGATTCGTCTAATTTCTGTCCTCTAGTAGCAGCCAGTTGCTTTAATTCCGCCCAAGCTTGGTTCAGCAACTTCAAACGTTGCTCTATCTCGGGAACACCCAGATTTGAAACGTCCATTAGCTTTTCCCCAGCTTCCTGGACTGCTTGAATAGCGGGCTCGTGACTACCCAACTCTGCTTCCAGCCTCTTGTGTTTTTTCTTCAGATTCTGAACGCCAGTTAGGTCGCGACCATAGTCGTCCGAACCGACCAATAGTTTCTTCTCCTTGATCCAGGACTCCTCGTCGGCGATATCTCTGAAGAACTGATGCAAGGTGTTGGCTTCGTTTAGTCTGGCCTGTCGATGGGCAGCCAGATTGCGAATTCTCTCGTAGCGCTCGTTTATACTCTGTCGTTTCTCTTGGATACCGGCTGCATCGAACTGGCCACTCTCTATTAGCGAATCCGCCTGGCCGTTCATGTCTTTGATCCTCTCCTCGTGAGCTTGAATGTCAGCTTCAACCAACTGATGCTTCTTCATCAGGTTTTGCACCGAGGCCAGATCCTTGCCCGCGTCCTCAGATGTCAGCAGACTCTCAACTTCACCGAGCCAGAAGTCGAGGTCCTTGACAGCGGCTATATAGGTGCGTTGCTTGTTTGCTTCCTTCAACTTCATGGACTTCTCGGTTGTCTTCTGCGTGAGATATTCCCATTGGTCCGCGATCGAGGCCAACCTCTTCTGAACAGCGTCCTCGGAACCGGCACACTGATGCTTCTCTATCAAATTGCCTCCCATGGCGAGCACAGACTGGATTCTGTCCGCGTTTGCTGCCAACTCTGCCTCGAACGCCTGATGTTTTTGGTGCTTCGACTGGATGTTCGCAGGGTCCTTGTAGTTCTCCTCGGTCGCCAACTGCAATTTCTCGGCGATCCAGTTCTCCATTTCGTCGGCATCTCGCGAAAATTGCTGCAAGGTCTGCGACTCTCCGAGCTTTGAACGTTTCTCGATGAGAGCGTCCTTGAGGTGCTTCCAGCGGTCCAAGACTTGGCAACGTCTCTCGTCGATCGGCTTGGCGGCATAATGTTCGGCCGCTATCAATTGATCCGCCAGAGTCTGTAGGGTAGCAATTTTATCTTCGTGGGACTTGATCGCTTTGTCAAAATCTTCGTGCTTCTTTATCAGAGCCTCGACGTTGTCACTGCTGTCTACGGTGTCCGCGCTGCTCAGGAAAGCTTCCCTGGCGCTCATCCAGTTCTCAGCTTGCTCGCAGTCTCTGCAGAAAAGCTGCAGCTCCAAATTCTGATCGAGTTGCATGCGTCTCTGAACCCAGGCTTTCTCCAGCTCTTGTCTCGCTTCAGCCATAGACTCCAACTTCTCCTGGATCTCGACGCTCGCATAGTGACTGGACTGCAGAAGCTGCTGGCCAAACAGCTCGAACGCCTGGAAGGTACCTGCTCTGGCATCGATCTCTATACGATGTTCCTATAACACAAGAAACGAAAGCTTAGACAACCCGTCCAGAAAGCCAACGAAAGTTCACACTCATGTTGCGCATATGTTTCAACCCACTCGACAATAGATACTACGATAAGCAGCGTAAAGGCAGCGATCGCACTATAAGAAGCACACGTAGAATCGTTCAATGTGTTAATAGGCGTGTCTTCATTACAAAACATCGACCTGCCAATTCGTCCTTCTTTAATTCCCCCCATACGCTCCTCAAAATCTAATTGCAGAAAAAAAATCTTCCCTTACTTTTCGCCCACTTTTGTTAGAGGAGCGTACGAGGGTTAACAAAGACAGCTCGTCAACAACAAATGTGAAAAATCTCTGTCAAATGATTAATCGTAAGAATATATATTCAGAGGCAAAGTCGCACAATGTTCGATTCATGCTCAAACACTTTGGTACCTCTGGAAGTACGCCGTATCGTGCGTCTATCTCTGCCCTGTGATTCTATAATTTAGATTACAATATAGTGACTCTATAAACTTTTATTCTATTATTGTGATAAGTTGGATATACCTGATGACGGTCCAGCAAAGCTTCGGCACCGGTAGAATCTGAAGCCAGCTCTTCAGTAGCGACCAGACCCATCATCGAATTGATCCAAGCCATCAAATCTCTGTAATCGCTGAGGAAGCGCTGGAGGTCGTACGAATCCAACAGTTTCTCTTTCCTACTGTTGGCTTTCGCAGTTAACTGAGTCCACTCCTCGTTGATCTCCTTCTGTTTGGCGTAGGTCTGTTCAGCAGTCTCCGGGTGAGACTGCATCAGACGATTGGCAGTCTCATCCAGCTGTTTGATCTTATCCCCCAACGCTGCCAGATCTCTCTCCAGACCTTCGTGCTTGCGTTGCAGGGCCTGTACGCTGCGCAGATCTTTCCCAAGATCGTCGTTGTTCAAAGCAGCATCCTTCTCACGAATCCAATCTTTGGTCTCGTCAACGTCACGGTGGAACCGCTGTACCTCGTGAGCTGAGCCCAACTGATTGGCTCGCTCGGCAGTGAGAGTTTGTAGACTGGTCCACTTTTCGTTGAGATCTTGAATCTGCGTCTGAATCTTTAGGGCCGCCTCCGTCTGTCCCAAGCTCATCAGCTGAACAGCGATCTCGTTCATTTCAGCGAGGCGTACTTCGTTCGCCTTCAGGTCCGCCTGGAAATCGTCGAACTTCTTCTGCATGACCTCGACCTGTTCCAGATCTTCACCGACGTCCTGAACTTGAGCGTGATTCTCCTTGTCCTTGATCCAAGTAGCTAACTCTGCAGCCTCTCTGACAAGCACGTACGCTTTTGCGGTCTCGTTCAATTTGTTCTGTCGCTCGCGTGCCAGTCTCAGAAGGTCATCGTACTGACCTTCGATTTGCGCTTGTCTGGCCGCAATGGAGCTCTGCTCTCTGGCCAAGTTCTGTTGCGAAGCGCTGAGCCCGGCCTCTGGTTCCACTCGCTTTACGTATGCAGCTGGAACGAAACCTTGACGGTCGTTGACCTCGACCTTCCACCAGTCCTTGTTGTTGGAATTTAGCAGCGTCAGAGTGTCGCCCTTTTTCATGGACACTTCTCTGGGCGATTTCTCCGTGTAATCGTACAGGGCGACGACGCATTCCTTCCCGGTGATGTCGATCGTGGGAGTCTCCTGTTGACGACAGGATTGAGCTTGTTCCTTCAGCGCAGCTATAGTGCTAGCGAAAGCCTCCAGATCGCTAACCAACGCTTCATGCTTCTTCAGCAGAGCCTCAGAGCTGTCCTCGTCCTTTCCGTAGTCGGCGTTCATCACGATGGGTCTCTTCTCCTTCATCCAAGACTCTGCTTCGTTAGCGTCCGCAAAGTATTGGTGGGCCTGAAGAGAATCGTCCAAGTCGGTCTTACGCTGCCGAGCTTTTTCCTTCAACTGGCCCCAGTGCTCGTCCAGTGCAGCCAAGCGTTGGCTGATCTCCTCAGCGGCGAAGTGGCTCTCCTGCAGCATCGTTGCTCCAGCCTGGCAGACGGCTGCAACACGTGGCTCGTGGTTGTTTATCTCGGCTAGAACAGCCTGGTGTTTCTTCTGCAAGTTCTGCACGCCGATCAGGTCACGGCCACGGTTGGTGGATGCCGCGACAGGCTCCTTCTCGCGGATCCAAGCCTCCTCGTCCTCGATGTCTCTGAACAACTGCTGCACTTGCAAAGAGTCGAGCAGCCGTTGCTTGCGAACGCTCATCGGTCGCTGCAAGGCGGCGTATCGGGACTGCAGTTGGTCCTGCTTGACCTTGATGTTGTTGGCGTCGAAGTGACCCGACTTCACAAACTGTTCTGCGGCCTGGGCGATGGTGTCGATCCTATCGGAGTGCGAGGCGACGTCGGCCTCCAACAGGGCGTGTTTCTTCTGAAGGTTCTGTACGCTGGTCAAATCCTTGCCATAGTCCTCCGACATTAGTTGACCCTCGACCTCGGACAACCACAGCTCGATGTCTTCGACGGTACGATTGAACTGTTGCTGCTGAGAAGCCTCCTGCAACTTCGCTCCTTTCTTCTCTGTGGCTTGGGTCAGACATTCCCACAGCCTCATGATCTCGTCGGTGCGAGTTCTGATGCGATCGCTGGCGTAGTGATCATCCTCGATCAGCTCTTGACCAGTCGCTACCATCTCTGCCATACGAGTGCTGTTGGCGTTTAATTCTTGCTCGAAATTCTGATGCTTTTGCACCTTGCCGTTCAAGTTGGTGGGGTCCAAGTAACTGTCGTCGGTGGCGAATTTCAGTTTCTCGTTCACCCAGCCTTTGGTCTCGTCGCAGTCACGCTCGAACTGTTGCAACTTGTAGGCGTCTTCCAGCCGTCGTCTCCTCTGAGCAGATTTCTCCAGAAGAACGGCGCGCCTCTCCAAAAGCGACTGACGTCTCTGCGCCACATCGTCCGCCGCATAGTGTTCGCCTTCTATCAGTTTACCAGCAAACTCGTCCAGTATCTTGAACTTGTCTTCTTGGGCGGCAAGGGACTTATCGAAGTCCTCGTGCTTTTTTATCAGAGCTTCCACGCTGTCGAGGGAGTCGCCCAAGTCCTCGTTCGCGAGGAACGCTTCTTGCTTCGCCATCCACGCGTCCGCCTGCTCCGTATCTCTGTAGTATAGTTGGAGATCCACGCATTGTTCATACAGGATCCTCCTCTTTTCCCAGAGACTCAGCAACGATTGCTTATCCACTGCAAGGGAATTCAACTTTTTAGCTACTTCTTCCGCGGCATAGTGTTTCTTCTCCAAAAGATTGTTGCCGGCTAATGTGGTGGCATCAAAGCTATCGGCTCTAGCGTCGATTTCGCCCTTGTGCTCCTGGTGTCTATCGACGAGGGCTTCTGCACCAGCTACATCCTTGGCTAGTTCGTCCGCAGATATAATCGCCTTCATGTCATTCATCCAAGAAACCAAGTCTCTGTAATCGGCCAGGAATCTGTGTAAATAGTAAGACTCGTCCAGCTTCAGACGTCGCTCCTTCGCTTTCGCTGTGAGACTCTCCCATGATTGCAAGATCTCCGCGCGCTTAGATTGAATCTGCTTCGAATGATCCGCTTGATGAATAGCGGCCAGACGATCGGCTTCTGTTCCCAGAGAGTATACTTTGTCTTCCAACGCAGCTAAATCGCGTTCAATACCCTCGTGTTTCCTTTGCAACGTCTGCACGCTCGCGAGATCCCGACCAAAGTCATCGAAAGACAGTACGACATCCTTTTCGGCTATCCATGCCATCGTCTCATCCGCGTCGCGATTAAATCGTTGAATCTCGTGCGCACCGAAGAGTTTTTCCTGTCTCAAAACAGCAAGCTGCTTGAGTCTTTGCCAGGATTCGTTCAGCTCCTCTTTTCTACGTAGAATAGTATCACGCTCAGGATGTCCGTCCAAGAGTAGTTTGTCTGCCAATTCGTTCACTTCTGTTACTCTGTATTCCTGGCTAGCCATATCCTTTTGGAATTCATCGAATTTCCTCTGAAGCACTTCGACGTGTTCCAGGTCGTGTCCAAATTCATCGGTCGTAACAAATGCTTCTTTATCGTGGATCCAAAACATGACTTCGTCGCAGTGTCTGATAAATTGCACGAGTACCAAAGCCTGCTGCAATTTGAGGCCCTTGTCTGCCAGTCGGCTGAGCAACAGCTCCCAGAGATCGTGGAGTTCCTCTAGAAGGATAAAATGTATTTTGTTAGTACGGTTAAAACTTTTTTTAGATTCCCTCGAGATTCTAACAGCACCATTAATATACCTAATCTTTTGCGAATCACATCGCTAAAAAAGTGATGCTGAGCTATCATTTCGGAGCCTGTGTTGTCAAGCGATACAATGGCGTTGGAGTGAGCTGCGACTTCCGCCTCGAATGCCTGATGTTTTTGTATCTTTGCCTGAAGATTTGTCGGATCCTTGTAGCTCTCGTCTGAAGCAGCTTGCAACTTTTCGTAGATCCATCCCTCGAGTTCGTCCGCATCTCGCTTGAAATACTGTCGAGAAAGAAATTTCGTTGAACAATGCACTAGATGAGCATCGGAAAGTCCATGCAATTAGAAAGTATACCTGAAAGCGACGGGAGTCCTCGAGTTTGTCTCTCTTGCTCCGAGCTTCGGCTTTGAAGTTCGCATACCGACCCAAAACCTGGTCCCTCCTCTCCTGGATATCCTCTGGATTCTCCAGAATCTTCACCTCTTTCGGCGTGATTTGATCCATGTTGGATTTCTCTCTATCGTTCGATATTTGTCGAACAATCACTTGCAACCAAAATGGCCACGGGGTGTGGCAAACTCTCGTTAGCTGTGAAATCAATAATTACAGCCTGAATAGAATACTTTGTTCATTGATTCTCGATTATTCGCAACTACTATTGTTGCCGTTTCTATTATTTCTACTCGATGAAGCAAAAAGTTGACACATACCTTCTACAATCGTTTCCTGGAAGTTCACGGCGCTGTGACACCTAACCGTTTCGTGGTTCGATACTGACTGCGCTGACTGCGGCCGTCGTCCTACAAGTAGCGCAAGCGGAAGAAATACTTTCTGCTGGATTTTGCTCTCCCATTGGTTGGCCAACGAAGCGCTTGGCCAATCGGACGCGTTCATAACTGGCGCGCTTTATCAAATTGACTTACATACGAGCGTTACGTCATTGCTGTGTAATCATCTTTATTAGGAACTTACGAACCCAGAGAGTTATTTAAACAGCGATAACTGGATTTTATCCGAGATATCTATCCTCTATCTACAATATTATTGTATCGGTTTGCAGTTCGCGGACATTAATACTCTGTTCGCTTAATTAAAAGTTCTTTTTATTGTAAAAGTAAAAGCAAATCGTCGTTTTAACAGAAAATTCGGAATTTCTTTTACATCGACAATTTATATTTATAGTAGAAAGAACGTTAGAAGCTTATAATTTAGATATATTCAAAGAGAGGTACGCAATCATTCTTATTTTTAACGCGTGTCCAAATATAGTTTTTTGATCGGATGATCCATCGAGGATTATATATATATTCAATATATTATATATTATATATATTATATATTATATATTATATATTATACAGGGTGTTCCACAATTATTTTAACAGCCGAAAATGGGGGGGTAGCTGAGGTCATCTGAAGCAACTTTTTCCTTTGCGAAAATGCAATCTGCGGCTTTGTTTACGAGTTATTAACGGAAAACACTGACCAATGAGAGGTGACGGAGCGAAGATCGAGAGCCCGCAGCACGAGGCTTTGACAGATGGTCGGGACGGACTCGAGCCTCGTACGAAGTATTGAACAAATCACGAAGCGAGAACTTTCCGGATTTTTTTTACTACGTAACAGTGATATTTTAAAAAAAAACGCTGTTCACCTTTATTTTAGAACGTCTGAAGAATATTTACTAATTTTTCGGACCCGAAATAGTAAGTAATTTAACCGTGACTGCCGTTTTAATTTTCTAGTGTGCATGACACCATGTGCGTAACATATGAAATTTTTAAGCAAAATGTACAGTGAAGATTAACAAAGTATGTAAATGATATTCTTCCCAATTTCACATGTTGACCTTAACATAATCTTGACATGACCTTGACATAACCTTGATATGACCTTGACATAACCTTGATATGACCTTGATATGTCAAGGTTATTTGAAGGTTATTTAAAGGTTATTTATAATATTCTTCATATTTCTCTAACAAACGTCCTTTAACACGATTATTTTTTATTAAATTAGCTTTGCGAATCATTCGTTGAACTGTGTTCGGACACGGAATTATTTAAATTAAAATATCATTTACGTACTTTATTAATCTTCACTGTACATCTTGCTTAAAAATTTCATATGTTACGCACAAGGTGTCATGCACACTAGAAAATATCACACTTAAAAATATCACTGTTACGTAGTAAAAACAAATCCGGTAAGTTCTCGCTTCGTGATTTGTTCAATACTTCGTACGCGGCTCGAGTCCGTCCCGACCATCTGTCAAAGCCTCGTGCTGCGGGCTCTCGATCTTCGCGCCGTCACCTCTCATTGGTCAGTGTTTTCCGTTAATAACTCGTAAACAAAGCCGCAGATTGCATTTTCGCAAAGGAAAAAGTTACTTCAAATGACCTCAGCTACCCCTCATTTTCGGCTGTTGAAATAATTGTGGAACACCTTGTATATCATATATTATATTCAATATATTCAATATATATATAGAGATATAATTTTTTTTCGTCTTATTCAGGGTTATATCGTTCTTATAAATATTTTTGTATGGGTGAGTGAAAGAGCAGTGTTTATGATACGGTAATCTTTTATTAAATTTCACCTACAAACAACGAATCACAGAACGTTACATTAGAGTTCCTTACGTCAATCCATCGTGTCTTCGTAATTATTTTACAGGTAAATAATCATAGATTTATCTCTATTACGGTAAAGTCTTATCTGTTAAAATATCTTGTAGCGTAGTCAATCGTAATGTAATATGTAAATTTAATTCACCTAAAAATAGGATGATTTCTTGTTGTAGTGTCATCGTTCATTGTTTATAAGTGGATGTTATCGTGTATAGAAGTGGTACTATCCATAGGTACTTGCTTTTTTGTCCATTGTACTCTGATGTATTTCCTTGTGTGTCTATCTCGCTCTCGCTCTCTCTCTCTCGCTTCTTTCTCTCACTCGCTCCCTCTCCCTCACACACACTCTCTCACACACGCACACACATATCCATACACGCAGTATTCTATCTCTCTCGCTCTCTCTCTCTCTCTTTCTCTCACACACACACACACTCTGTCTTTCTCTCCCGCTTTCTCGCTCTACTTTCTCTCTCACTGTTTTATATCTTACATATTTTCTTCTTTGTATTAATATATCTTTCGTCCGATACGCGTATGCAAAGAGTGCGATATGAAAAAATTCTTCGTGTACCAAAAATTGTTTCTGAATATCTCTCGTCGTATCTTCTCACTTATTTTTTTTTTATTGCGAAAATTTTCTCTGTATTTTCCGTTTGTTCGTTACTCTTGAGAAAAATTACAAAATTCTATGCCGACGAGGAGGGGCGGGTGGTCGTGGGGGTCTTACGGGGGTATCGGGGATACAGGGGGGGATGATGGAGGCTACGTGAGGTTCCCTTAAGTACTCTGGACAAAGTCGATGGTATTATCATTTTTTTTTTCTTTACGATACAAATTGCTAGAACTTCATTTTTTTTAATATGTTTTTTTTTCTTTGTTAGAAGGCAACACGTCATTTGTTAATTACGAGAAGGCAATTCGCTTTGTATCATCGGTATGTCTGGCGTCCCGACGCATTTCTACGGACTCTAACAACGTTTGTGGTATCAATTTGAAACTGAAAACTCTGCTCTCAATACAATTATGCATCCTACGTTTCATCTTCAAAGAGGGGGGTCGGGGGCGGGGGGCTGGGTGGCGGTGGCGGAGGGCAGAAAATGCACGGGACCGTTTACAGGCATTATTGGCAGCACTTGATCGTTTTTTCACTCTATTTTTTTTTCTTCGTTCATCTCTACTCTTTCACGTATAATATTTCGTCTCTTTCGCTCTTATATATCATTATACAACTATGATTCCTTCCTCTGTCTCCGTCCCTTTCGTCCTTTCGTCGTCCACGAAATGATTTTCATTTTTGGAGGTGATTCGCCGAAGAACCGTGGCCCTCTTCGAGGAAAACTATCACTTGGCTCTCTTTCTCTGTGTCTCTTTCTCTCTGTTCTTTCTTTCTTTCTCTCTCTCTCTCTCTCTCTCTCTCTCTCGCAAACACTCTCGTATTCTCTCCTATTTCTCTTTTGTATTACTTCCACAGTTTCACGAACGTTAACCAGCGTAATGTTCTTCCTAAGTATATTCTCAACGAATTTCTTTTATGTACAAAAACTTACGATCTATAGGATACGCTTGCACTCGCACGTCACGTCCTCGGGGTCCGGGGAGGGCGGTGAAAGAAGATCTCCGGGGTTATGGGGACGGGGGTGTGAATTCTGGGGTGGCCGCGGCGCGCGGGGGCGTCGAATAAATTAAATTTCACTCTAACTTATCGTGCTCTGGACGCCCCGCTGAAGTGTTCGCGGAGTGCACACGCGCGCTCGCATAAACGCGACCGGACAGCCCGCCGCCGGGCAAAAGGGAAATCTCTTTTTCGAAACGGTGTCCGATGATTAATATTTGGCAGTTGTACGCGTACACGTCGAAATGTGATATCGCTCTTAATCGGTGATCCGCTCTTTAATTATTATACCTCGTGCGCGGGGGGAGATGGGGGAGAGGGATGAGAAACGAAAAGGGACACGGAATTTCTCTCGCCGGGATCGCAGCCGCTCATCGGCTGTCCGGTCGCGTAAATCGCTCACGACCCGAAGGACCCGTCCAAAGTTCCCGCGAACTCATCCGCGAACCACGATGTTCGTTCACGGACGGGTCCTACCCGACCCGTTCGCCGCGCACCCCGTCGCTCCGTTCGCAATGAATTGTACAATGATGTTTCATGGATGGTTCGAGGTATTATTACAAATGCGGCATCTCTCGACACCCTGTCTCTCGCTCGCACGGGGGTGGGGGCGGGGGCGGCGAACGGGCCGAACGACGTCTCCGATCATTCGCATGAGCATAACAACGGTGTGCGTTAGAGGGCGCAGAGCCCAAATTTGTTCCGTTTGGTCTCGGCGCCGAGGTATAAAAAAAAGAAGAAAACAAGGAAAGATTAGTAGGCGAGTTCGTAGCCTCGCCGGACAAAACAGATCGGACACGTCGCTGCGTCGATACACGGTGTCGCTGTCGTGCAACTTCCTCTAGTTCCGACGTGACGGAAAAGAAAATCTCATAGAGACACATTAACTCGCTCCATTTACTACATAACATACAATATATATTCATATAATATATATATATATATATAATATTCAATAATATATATACTAATGGTGTACTTTTATATATACAGAGATATATAATGTCTGTTTCAATAATCTTTTTTTTTATGAATTAGTAACACTAGCTTGCTAAATAACATTCTTGGACCTCGTGTGTATAGCCAGCACCTTACGTTGTTGAACCCTCAGCTCGAATAGAAGAGTCGCCCTTTTCGCTTATATTTAAAAAAATATAGTGTGTACGTGTGTGGATGGGTGAACGTGTGTGTGTTGTACGCGTCTGTCTGTGTACGTTGTATGCGTTTCTGTATGTGTGTGTGTTATACGCGTCTGTGTGCGTCCGTGTGTCCGTAGTCCCCTCCCTGAGCTCGCCCCCACGAAACTTGTTACACACGTCGTTTAATCTGCCCGATCCTCTTCTCTCCTCCGTTTTCCGAATCTTTTCACAGCCCTCATTTCGTTTCGTATTTTTGTTTTCTCTTTTCTAATTCTTACGTCCGTAAAAAACACTTCACGTCGCGTCACTGTGTAAAAGCGAATGAATGAGCGTGTAGAGTATAACGTGTGTGGTATGTACGCGTGTACGTGTGCGCGAGTGTGCCTGTGTGTCTGGTCTCCTCTTTTCCCTCGTGTTTCCCGCTCGACGACGCGTTGCGTAACAAAAATCCCTCCCGTTATTTTTCCATTTTTGTTGTCTCTAGGTAACATATATAACCGTCTAATATACAATAAATAATTTATCGCGCTCTCGAATGTACAATTGTGTTCGCCTACACCGTCTCCTCCGACTATACGTCCATACGTTTAAGTAAATTTGTCCGTACTAGATTCATACGTTTTACTCTATCCCGCGATCCGCGATATCCGTTTAACAAAACACGCCGCATACATCCTCGAATCCGCTCCTCGCACGCACCGCGAATATATCGTCATCGCAGCAACGCCGTGGGGTACCATTGTTGTTCTCGCTAGAACCCGAAATATTTTGTACAAATTTTCTTCTTTTTTCTTTCTTTCTTTCTTTCCTTTCGAACGAGCTCGACGCTCCTCCTCCCCCGTACATCCATATGTATATACATGTACGCTTATCACATATATACATACACACATACCGTATCTCCTCCACGTTGTAAAGCTTAGTACGATTACCATCGACGTGTCGATCGTCGAAACGTAACAAATAAAAAGTAAAGGAAAATCAAAATAAAAGAAAGACCAAGGAGGAGGACGAAATTCGACGGCAGCCCGAAGAGGAGGCTTTTGTGTCCACCACCCTTCTCGCGGCTGGCTGATGCGAAGGATCATCCTCTCGCGCCTCTTCAATATACATATATCTCTATAGGTTTGCTTTATATATATACATGTATATATATATATATATATACATATACATATACATATATAATACATATATATATATATAATATGATACAAGGAACAAACGAAGTCAGAGAGAGGGCATCGGTACACGATCGCTTTAGATCGTCTGAGGGGTGTGCCATGTTGGCGCATCGTGGCAGGAAGAGCCGTTCGCCGGCGCGACGATGATCGTCCTAACGATCGCCGCGCGAACGCCCGTACGGGCCTTGTCACGGGTTGGCCGTGCTCTGTCGTGCTCCCTCGGGCCCTCGGGGGCCCTGTCTCACGCGCCGGTGCAATCGATCTCGATTATGTCCTTCGGCACGTCCACGAACTGATAGACCAGCCTCTGTCCGTCGACCTTCGCCAGGATGCCGCGCTGATAATAGTAACGCAACGCCCGGCCCATCGTCTCGTAGTTCATGTCCGGTTTGTTCTTGTGCAGGCCCCACAGCCGGGACACCGCTTTGCTGTCGACCAGCTTGAACACGCCCCGCTCGCGATTCGTCCACTTGATGTACCGCGGACAGTACTCCCTGTCCTGGAGCAGCTTCAGCAGGAACTCCCACAGATAAGTCGTCGAGCCCTCGCGGGATTTCCTCTTGACCGCGGCGCCGTCCCCTTGCCGGGGCTTCTTCAGCTTGTTCTTCTTCGACCGCGGCGGGAAACCAAGCTCGAGCAGGTACAGGTCGTCGGACACCGAGCTGGTCGCCGCCTGGATCACGCTCGTCGGCACGCCCCCGTGGCCCCGCGGCGGACTCGGGGTGCACGGGGTCGCGAACTGACCCCCGCTCGCGTACATCGAGTTCACGTAACTGCTGTAGCTCTCGGACACTGTGGACAGAACAATCGGAATCGGTTAGCTTGCTGTCAAGTTTCAACCATTTTCGAGATTAGATGTGTGGAAAGATTTTCGGGGATTGACCCGTTTCACCCTTCGACCGCGGATCATTTTTAGAGACTTTTTGGAACGGTGCGCGATCAAGTTGCTGCATTAATTCTTTGTCCGAGCTGAATCGAAGTTAACGCTAAATATATATCGCTATGTAAACGCTAAATGCCGCTGAATAATATAAAAATAAATAACGCTAAATATATCGGTCGAAATGATCGATTTCCAAATCGTTAAAAATTCTAGAGATTTTTTTTATGTAAGAAGAGTCACGCACGCGTTCCAATAAAAATGGCGGAAACCCTAAACGAATGCGACCTCGTCGCAAGTGACAAACGCCGGTCGCTTCAAGCGTTAACCCTTTTTGTACTCGAGCGGCGACTCTGAAATACCGCTAGAAAATTGTTACATCGCGTTCCGAAATAACGCGAACGTTACCGAGCTTTGTTTACAACTGGGAAAAAAAGAACTGTTAAAACTGTAACCGTTGCACGAGTTACGAGAGCCAATATCGTACGCATAAAATGCACAGATCCGGAGATGAACTGTTTCCAGATTCCGGCAGAACTGTTTCAGATTTCGCGATAGGATGGCGTCGAGTGCAAAGCGTGAAACATTTCCATTTATCGTGTTGTGTACAAGGATAGAAACAATTGCCGGCGCATCCCCGCGACGGTCGCAGGGATGAAAGTTGGTTTTCGGAGGAGAATTCTAATTTCTCCGAAAGGAAGCTGATCCGCTGGTTTCCGTGCGCGAACAGAAGCCGGGCATAAAGCATCGCGGATGTAATTATGTAATTAAATTCAGGCATCTCGTGCCGGGCGAGCGAACAAAAAAAAAGAACAAAGAATTATCGGAACACATATACACACATACATATTGCTTCTAAATGCGACGAAGCGAACTCGCCTCGGCGTGTAAACAGGTTAAACGCATTCTGTTACGGACAGAAGAGAGTAATCGGCGATGTCGGAGGGGGTGGGATGGGCGGAGGGCGGAGGGCGGAAGCTGATTAAACGTTATAGGGCACCGCGGTGGTTTTTCTTCGCGTGGTTTTGCGGCCGCGGCACGTACGCGGCGTTAATTATCGGCCGTTTAAAAGTTAATTGTAATCCGACACGAGCAGGTTCACGCGATCCACGTCTGGTGGCGCCATCATTCGCTGCCACCGGCATCGAGGGATAACGTAAACGACGTAGATCAACGCGCGATTAATTATGGGGGGTGAGTCCGGTTATTACGGCTCCATTTCCTTCTTTTTTCTCTCTCTCTGTCGGTCCGCGCGTTGAAACTGGAGCGGACTCGTTATCCCCGGAAGAATAAAATTTAGTGCCGCGGGAGGCGGCCGCGGCAGTCTTTTTAATCTGCTATGTAATCCAAGATAATTTACCGTCCGCGTATTATCCCGGCTGATTAGATCCGGATCGCGAGCTCCCCCCGCCCCTAAGCCATGGTGCCGCGAACACGCGCGTTTGCATCGGAGGATAGTAATTGCGAGACGCGTCTGCGCGTGTCCCTTCGCCGAGAGACGCGGACTTCTTCTCCCTTCTCTGTCGTTTCGGCTCCGTCGAGCGACGGTGACGTAGCCGACGTTTACCGGAAGCGCCGTCCTTTTTAACCCCCTCGCCGACCACAGCCGGACCAACCAGTTCTGCGATCCCCAAGGTGAATCCTAGCTATACGACTCTCGCGTTAATTGTCCGCCTCGCCTCGCCGGCGTAACGCGATTGCCTGTTTCCAATGCTCTCCGAGAAGGTACAAGTCGAGGGTGTTTCAAAGGACATAAAGAGCATCTGATATTTCTTCCGAATCGGCCGCGGATCTTTTACCTAATCGTTCGACACGGACGAGCGTTCGCCACTTCCGCCGAACATTATTCTTCGACAGACAATTGAGCCGTTTATTTTGAAAGTGGCCCAAGTCCATTTATTTGAAAATCCAGATATTTAAGGATTTTACGTTTTAATCAATTTAAAAATATTGCTAATTGATAACGTGGTGGTATAATGTTTTTGTGTTCCTAAGGGTCGCTGCGTTCTTTCAGCTTTGCCGACATGAGATTATATGTATAACGTGGAAATGTGAATATTAAAATAGCTAGCTCGGTGTTTTTGAAAAATGACTTTTAGGCCACTTTCAAAATAAACGGCTCAATTATTAATTCTACCTTCGGATACGCCGCGATCGTCGAACCATTGCCGGCCAAATGATCTTCACGGTTACAATGATTGGAACTCTTTAGATCGTAATCATACTTTTCGAGAAGATTCGAGAAACATTTTTATTAATTTCATTCCGACGCAACATTAAATCTAGCGCAATCTGAAAGCGTAATCTTCCATTCTAGCACTAACGCGTATTGCTTTATAAGAACGGCAAGACAGAGTTTATTTTATTATATTTATTTATATTTATTATATTATTATATATTATATATTATATATTTCATATATATTATATTATTATTATATTTATTTTATTTTATTTATTCATATTGTTTATATATTTTTGTATATTTTTATAAAATATATATATTATACGATATATATATCTTTTATATTATCCTTATTGTTTCTTATTCTTTTTTATTTATTTAATTATATTTTTTACTGTGACAATTAAACGATTCACTCGATCGTTTTCTTAAGAAACAGCCTTCGAAATTTCAACGTTGTAAAAATCAAAAATGGCCGATCAATTGTACCTAAAACGAGACGATATACTCTAATATTTTCTTTCGCACGATTCCTGAAACAATAACGTTTCTATGAAAAATTTTTAAGGCAAACTTCTTTATTAGTTAATATTTTTCGTTTGAACTTTAAACGTTCAACTTTATTTAGATAAACTTCTCACAGAGACCGTAGCAGGTTCAACCGAACCGAATCGTTATTATAAAGAATGTCACTATTATGAAACAATACGCGCCGGGCGCGTTCAGCGTTAACAGTGTTTCGGTGTCGATACGCGGCGTCCGTCCACGGCTGGCCGTATCTCCTGCGCGGCTCCGAGGCCAGTCTCCCCGGCGAGTCTGACCAAAGCACGAACGACTCCACTGTCTCGAAGTGGTCCGTTCCTCGCGACTCCGATCCAGGACACGCCTGACGGGTCCGAGGGTCGCGTACGAAGGCGCATTGTGCTCCGTCGATAGCGCGGTCCCCGTTCATGCGGCCGGAAGTCGGGCCAATCCGTCTCCTCGCCTTGCGCGGCGCGTTTGCTCCCGCGGAAAGAGACGATAGGCCGGGCTCTGTTGTTCGCGCGAGAACCGCGCTCCGGCTTCGTTAAGTATATACATACATCGTGTTCATCCGTGCAATGAACTATTAATAGCTGTCCACAGCACCGCCGCCGGCGCTTCGCCGTTTCTGTCCGCGTATGATCGATGTTTCGGGACGGACCCGGCGACGTCTCTCTCTCTCTCTCTCTCTCTCTCTCTCTCTCTCTCTCTCTCTATCGGATCCCGTCGATCGAGCCGAGCCAGTGGACACACCGCGCGTGTTTACGCGAAATCGGTTATTATTCCGTCGTTCACCGAACGACCAGACGAACAACGGAGTTTTTGCGAAGTAGCGAGCCAAAAAAAAAAGAAAAACGGAGGCGCTCGTATCATGGGCGTAACGATCGCGTTACGATTAACGAACGTGATTTCCTACATTTATTTTTCTCCGGCTCTCCCGATGTCGAAAAATCAGTGGGAAAAGTCGACGATCGAATTCCGAAACGTCGACGATCGAATACCAAAACGTCGCGGTTTTCTTTTTCTTTTTCTAGTTGTCGACTATTTTTCCTCCGCAGCCAAAAAACTCGCTATAATCAAGAATCTCACGCGCGTTTTCGCCTCGGATAGACGAAACGGTCGCAGCGACGACTGTCGCGGGACGATGTTTCTCAAACTGGACTACGTCTCGAGGGGCAGCGAACGCAACAGATCTCAACCTTTCCGACCGGCAACATTTTTGCAGAAGTGCTCGGAAGGAACGCGAACAAACGAACCGTATTCGACCGCGATAGGTGTTGCGGTTTCTTCGCGAAAGAAAATCTGCGAGAACGAGAGAGCGCTGAAAAGAGCGCCGTTCGCGCGGTGGAAATGCCCCCTTAAATTCGTTCGCCAGTTTTATACTTCTGGAGGATTCGCGGGGTGCGCGAACGGCTCGGCCCCGGATTCCCACGGGCTTCGCAGCTTTGTCCCGCGGTTTCCAGAAACGGCGAAAATTTGGTCGCGGAATCGCGGCCGGCGTTCCGCGAAACTCGCTCGAGGAGGATGCCTCGAAATAGAAAGTATTCGTACGCCACTGGTCGTGTGGCCGGTGCCGTGTGTGCGCCGCGAGAGGAGAGGAGAGTAGAGGAGAGCCAGAAGAGCGCTGGAGAGAGAGAGGAGAGGATCGCGGAGGAGAGGAGAGGAGAGACGGGAAGAGAGGCGGTCGGGGTGAAGAGACGTGGAGAGGGTTAAGCGGAGCCAAATGAAGGGGGCAAAGCAGAAGAAGTGGCGGCGCGGCGGAGGGGGTGGAGGAGGGGGCGTCGAGGAGAGGAGCGAACGGGCGAGCGAAGGAGAGACAGATAGAGCAGGAGGGAGAACGGAAAAAGCGACGGAGAAGGAGACGGAAAACAAAAGGGTAGGGGAACTCTGGCTGCAGTATGATAGAGGACTGACCCGAGCCAAGGTTGCACGGGTGACGCCATCAAGCTACTAGTGCATAATAGCGCCGCTCGTTCGGAGGCCGCCGCGACTGCGCTAAAATCGGAACTCGTTCTACCCGCCTCTCCCCTCGCCCCTTCTCATCCCCCGTGTCTGGTCTCTCCTCCTCTCTCTCTCTCTCTCTCTCTCTCTCTTTCTCTTGTTCCCCGGTTGCGTCGTTCCCCGTAGTTCCGCGGAGTCTCGCGATGGCTCGCGCGCGCACGCCAGGCGGTTCTTGAACGATTCCTCCTCGCGATTCTCGAGGCT